AAAAACAACAGGGGAATTAAAATCAGGATTTATCACCCAGGCCCCAGGTGCAAGCTCATTTTGCACCGAGTAGCACGAGCTGCAGCAACTGCACAAACAGGAGCTAATAACAGGCAACTTTGGTCTGTGAAACCATAACCACAGCTAGAAGGTGAGTCTCATTGTGAAAAACTGTGGTGCAAAACCGAGTTTCTCCCCATGATGAGCAGATGATTGCAGAGATACAGAGCCAGTAACTTCCATTAAGGAGGGGGAAGATGTGGTTGGGAGCAGGGGCTGGGGTGCCCAGACCAGAGGGCTGAGCTGTAGGAGAATGGAGTAACACTGGAATGCAGCCTGTGCCTCCCTGTGCAAAAGGAGGGTGCTCTCCAGGTCTGTGCAGCATGGAGTCAGAAGCCAAGTCAGAAGGGCAGGGCGTGCTGGAGGCTGGAGCTGCATGCATTGCTACGGGGAGCAGCAAGGTGCAAGCAGCTCTGGTGGGTACTTTCCCAGCCCCAGCTCTCAGCATTCTGCTTTGATTGAAGACTCTGTGTTTTTCTTAGTGTAAGTGACACAAACATGTCACAGCCTCAAGCTGGAGAAGACATTTGAGAATGTTCAGTGCAAGTACTTGGACTTTGGTCACATTTCTTACCTGCATTCATGATGGGGAAGCCATTCACTAGGTCTCCATCTCCTTAACCCAGCCCAGCCCTTTTCCTCCCTTCCTGCTGGTGGTCTCAGCAGATGTCAGTCACTCAGAGCAAGGAATGGAACTGTTGCTGCCTAGAGACACAGTGGGGTGAATTAATACAGGTGGCGACAGAAAAAATTGTGGGGTCACAGAGGCAGGATCAAGGGTCGTTAGTTCCTTTAAGGAGACCCAGTCTGGACTAGCAGAAATCTGCAGTGCAGGAATGAAAGGCACTCACAGAACTGTGGTTGAAAAGTATGTACTCAATTCAATAGTTTCACCCTAATTTGCCTCATCCTCCAGCAACAAAACAAGCTCAACAGTGGAACAAAAATAAACCATGAGTCAAGTCTCCAGGTAAAGACTTTGCAGTGCAAACCTGGAAAGCCAAATTACTAGTAAAATGCATAATAACGTATAATCTTATTGCACACCCAGCAACAAGATGCCCGCAATTGTGCATCAGTGGCATCACCTACAATCCTTCGGCATGCAGCAGTGCACAGCACAGGGGCACAGGTTTCATAAACCCACCCTCCCAGTGGCACTCCCACACTGTCTGAACTGTTGCCTTCGTTCCTTTCTCCTTCCCCCTAATGACCTGGGATCCCTGCTCTCATCTAACTTAGATACGGCCTCAGTGACATTCACCCCACAGTGCTTTAGATTTGCATTTGCAACCCCCCCCTACCACACGCTGCCCTCCTGGTGATGTCCACCTCGAGGATACACATCCTCGCAGCTTTCACATACCTCCGTGGTGCTGCATATCCCACACCAGGAAAGGCAGTGCTTTGTCATGAAACTGCTGAAACCTCCCCAGGCAATAACATGTCACAGCTGTGTCACAAGATGAGTTGGCAGCTCTAGGGACAAGGTCCTTTGCCCCATGTCCTAGACAGCAAGCCGCCTCTACTTCTAGTACAGATTTTTTTTACACTCAGGACGGGAATAATGGGAGTGGTCTGCCTGGCAGATGTGCCTGAGCAAATGCGTTACCTATGTGTTGGGTCTGTTGTTCAAAATAAGGTGATGAATCTTTGTGGAATGATCACAGAATATAAAGTAATGTGCATATAATAATTGCGCACTTTAATATATGCTTATGCTTATATTAAATAAGCATATTACATTATATGCGCTTATAACAAATAAACACATCAGCTTATTTATTTGCCTGTGTCTGACTGCAAGGAACTCTACCTTTCCCCCTGCTCAAGGTCCCCGTGCAAGTCAGTGTCTGTGGTACATCAGCACTTGTTGAGCAGAGAAAGTTTTTTCTGCTTGAGGTTTTCGCTTGAGGCGAGGGGAAGCAGGTGTCTGCGTTTCTTGTGTTCAGCGTAAGAACCAACCAACTGGTGATGTTGGCGCTTGTTTCAAAATGTGATTTCTGAGCAAAGGGTGAATGGAAAAAATAAATATGTATTTATATCAGTACACACCAACACATGACTTCCTGTTGACTAAACAAGCAACCTCTCCTCTGCTTTGGTGCTAGGTAATTACTTTTAATTATTCACCACATCTTTTGGTCTCTGATTTCTTAGCAGTTTGCTTTCTGAATCTTTAGTAACAGTAATGGTGATATTCCTCTTCCTGCCCTACACTGCTCTTCAGCCTGCTGTTATTTGCTGTTCTCACTTCAAGACAGGGAATAGAGCCCCGAGCACAAGAAACCTGAAGGGCTGCTAGGACATCCTTCTGTGATCCTGATAAGCTGGAGAAGTGTCTTTTTCTAGATAACACTCCAAACACACCAGCACAGAGACCCTTCCTACCCTTCCCCACTAGCCTTTAACTGATCTGGACTTTGATTAGAAACAGAGATGGAGTCATCTTCAGTAAAACCGTTTTTCTCTCCCACCCTCAGTCCCTTCTTCAGATACGTTTGCATTGAGCAGAAAGGAAGGAAAACCAGACTGGTCAGCATCTCTTCTCATGTGTTTTAGCTCCCAGCCAAAAGGGTCCCACCATATGTTAAAGATTTGGCAATTTACAGCCAGGGAGGAAGCTGGACTAGCAGTTAGATCAGGCATCAGCAACACTTCCGTGGTTTTCCAAACTATTTTTTTTTAACCAGAGCACAGCTGACATCTGCTAATGAACAAGATCTTGCCTTGGCAAGAGACTGCAGCTCCTGCTTTAGGCAGAACTGCATAGGAGCTGAGGGTCCCTCTTGAGATGTCGTCCTAGGCTTGCTGTGAGACACTAAAACATCCACACTGACAGGTTTCTGCTCTGGGGATTAGAGCTAGAGGCAGAGAATTGCTGCCACTGACTTTGTGCCCTCACACTTCCAGCGTGAGGGAAGTTACTGGTCTAAATGAAGGGCAATAGAAAGCCTACATCAATATTTAGACTTGAGAACCCTGTCAAAGAGTGACATAAGTATACTTCATCTGTTCATTTATTTGTTCTTTCTTTTTTATCTCTGTGGAAAGCAAAGAGGGTTTCAACATTTAAGAAAAAGAACTGATGCTTTAAACATGGACAGATGAATTCCAATTACAGGCGGAACCAGAGAAAGGATCTAGTTAAATGTTTTATGAGACTTGACATGTTAAACCTTTGACAAAACCATAACACAAAAACTTAATTTATGGGGAAGACCAGGCTGGTCATGAAGATATTTTTTGACTCCTTTCAGAGCTTTTGGCTATGGAGATTAGGAGCCAGGACAAGAATAAAGCTGAAGGTACCTTAATTTATCTGATGAAGCACAAAGAGTTATGATATCTAAGAATCAGATTTCCCAGGGTGTGTTGCTTTTCTTTTTTTTTTTTTTTTTATGTCCTGTGTAAAAAACATCCTCCTGCATTATTGAAATAAAAAGCTAGTATGAAAGGGGGACAAAATTACTCTTGGTCTGACCTAGATTTGTTAAAAAGTGCTGCTAGGACAAAGGCTGAAAGGGGATGGCTGTTTAATTAGGAGTGTCCTCTTTGACTCTGTTAGGTAGGACAAGGATTCGCAAGCATTGCAGGCTCTTCTAGCTTTGGTCAAACACTAGGACCCAGATCCTCCAAGAGGATAATTGCCACAACTCTTGAGACCAGTGCAGCTGCCAAAATATGGATTCATTGAGTGTGTGCCCAACACAGACATTTCACAAGGAGGACAGTGCAGCCCAGGACCTTCCAGAAGTGCTTCTCCTTTTCCTGAAGCGTGCTGTGCCAGCCGCTCTCAAAGACAAGTACTCTCAAAGTTCTGGGCTGGAGAGTCATCTGCTCTGTTCTGGCAACTCATCTCTCCTTTTCATGTTTTTGCATATACTGGTTTCACACCGTCCTAGCATGCTGAAAGCCAGTAAAATTAATAAGGAAAGTAAATCAAGCAGAGAAAAAACGAAGAACTACCCTAGCGTGAGGTAAACAAAAGCCCTGTTTCTCAGCTGTAGCGCTGACTGTGCCCCACTTGAGGAAGGCATGGAGCAGAATATCCCCTACCTGCCTCCTCAGCACCCTGCCCGGCCAAAGCTGCTGCCCCATCGCTTGACTGTGATCCCACGCAGGGGACGGGTGCCTGGGCAGGGGCTGCGGGGCCGTGCGGGAGCAGGGCCCGGGGCGGCACAGAGCCGTGCTGGCCGGGCGAAGCGTGCGTGCCCCGAGGGTGAACCCGGGCGTGACAGTGTACAGCCACGTGCCCGTGGGGTGCAGCCGTGGGACGGACGGGGGGCCCGGGCAGCCAGCCTGCCGCGGGCAGATCACAGCACCAGTCCCACCAGGATCAGGCCCCTAAGTCACTCCCCACCGGTTCTTTGCGTACAGCTTTGCAGTGCAGGTTTGCCACTGACCCAGGCGTGTTGACATGGCTCAGGTGCCCATGGCCACGTTCAGGTGCCAAAGCAGGGCCAGCTGCTCCCTATCAAACCCCAGGCTCTCTCTGGAGCTGAGTTTCTCTTTGGCTTCCATGTTGCCCCATGCTGCCAAATAGCTGCTGGGCCTCTCAGGGGGACATGGAGGAGGTGGGGGAAGCCTGACAACAGTTTGATGTTCCCTGAGCACCTTCCAGCCAGGCTGTGCAGAGCTTCCTCTGTGGTGGGGCAGGGCAAGGTCACCATCTTCACTGCACAGCTGCATGACCCAAGGCCCAGAGGGATAGTGTGGTTTTGCCCACATTCTTGTTAGTGGTACACGAGCTCCCAGGCTCCCCTCTAGCCACTAGACAATGCTTCCTGCCTCATTATGTCATTGATATTAATTCAGAATAATTTTGCAGGCAGGGAGGGCCCAATGGGGAGTGCAGCGGGGGGAGGCAACCAATGAGTGCTGAGCATCTTTCAGAACTGATGGCCCTTTGCATCTCAACCCTTTGCTCTTCAGACCCTGCAGCTCCAGAGACCTTTCTAACTCCTCCCTCAACCACACCCCAGTGAAACTCAGCAAGGGGTAGATAGGGGTGAATGGGGAGGGGACATACGGGGCAGTCCTCATTTCTGTACATCAAGTCAGAGGGCTGCACAGACGGAGCCACCGAGACAACCTCCCTGCAATCCCATCACCTGAAAGAGACCCTGGAAGTCATGGACAGGTAAAATGAGTGCTTCCTCCAGTTTCTTGCTCACACAAAAAATGAGGATCCTTCTCTTAGCATTAACCTGCTCTCCATTTGGTGTTTACTGTCCCTTTCCCTTTCCCCCTCTGACTCAGTGATCTAACTCCCCACCCCATCCTGCTCTTGCACCTCGCATCTCTGTGTCTCTGTCATTCTTTCTCTTTGACTGTCTGCCACCCTGTACTCTTTTCCCTTTCTCTCATTTCTCTTTCTTGTGACTATTCTCTATTCATTTTCATTCTTTTTCTTTTCTAGAAACAAAAAAAAAAGATAACAGAACGATGAACATTCAGATGCTATCCACCACTTAAGCACCTCAGTTCCTGCCCACTCTTTTCTCCTTATGCACCTATTCTTTCTCTTGCACCAGATACCTGTCTTACTCTGTTTCTGCTGCTCACACCCTTGTGCTCATAAGCACAGACTGTTCCAGCATTAGATTCCTCTACTTGCGCTGCAATTACTCTGTGAGCTAATTATCACTAATCACTCTCCACAATTGCATATCATTCACACACTCAGGGGCCTTCACTCTGATTTGAGGACTGGCTTCATGAATCTTTATTTGAGAAGGTCTCTGTTCAGTCTGCTTCTTCAGTGACTGGGCATCTGCATCTTAGATGCTTTCCCTTGCGCTATGCTATAGCTCTGCACCTTAGATGCTTTCCCTTGAGCTATGCTATAGCCATAGGAGTTGTGCATGTATCCAGCAGTTTGTACCTAACTGCACATCTGTTCAGTTCCTCCCCGCAAAATCTGTTCGTTCATTATTATTCTTCTTGTACCAGTCACATTCTGAAATCTTCCTTAGCAAAAATCCCTGTGACAGCAAAATCCAGAGAGAAGGTAAAATGGGAACTGGTGTTGATGAACATTCCTAGTTGAACAAATGGTTTCTGTGGTTCAAAATTGTCTTCGCTTTGTTCTGACACTGAAAAATAACCCAAGTGATCATCACTTTATTTTTCTGGGGTTTGGGGTCATTTCTTTTTCTTCACCTTTATTTGCATCCACATGCTGCTCCACAGGGGCAAAACCAGAGAATAGAGAAAATGGGAAGTCATGAGAAAAGGGACAGTTAGAACAGTCAGAAGCATTTTGAAAGCAAATGGTTTTGCCCAAAATTTCACACACACACACACACACACACACACAAAAAAAAAAAAAAAAAAAAAAGAGAGAGAGAGAAAAAGGAAAGCCTGTTTTCCTAAAGTTTTTGATGTGTTGAAAAGCTTTTTTCCATGTGGGCTTTGATGAAACATCAACATAATTGTCATTGGTTTTCATCCTGATTATATGGTTCTTCAACAAGCAATTGCGTTCTTCACAACTCCTCTGATCTGTTTCTGCTGTTGTATCACACACCAAGTAATAGCTTCACAAACCTCTGGACTGTCATACTTGCTCATTTTGTGCAATTTCCTGGGATATCATGTCTGAACAGCCTGAAGATCTGTCATAGAAGGGGTGTCCCCTCTCCAGCACTTCCATTATGGAGGAGAGTCTTTTCCACCTCCTTACAATAACATACATCTAAGGAGGAGAAGCCTGAGTTGAAGCTCTGGTTGACAGTTTTTTGAGGGGACCAACGTGTGTGTGTGTGTGTTAGGGAATATACACACATGTTCATAAGTACTTGTACAAAGGCAGGGAAATAGGTTGGTGTGAAGTGGGGCATCTCTAAGTGTGAGGAATAAATCAAAACTGATGATGAACATATAATAGGTATGGGAATCACACACCCAACATGGAAGGGGTGATGAAATGCAGTGGGATCAGTTTGTGCTCTACTCCTGATGCAACCTGCAAACCCAGCAGAGCAGGACTGTGGGTGGCAGTGCTTACAAGACGGACCTCCAAGAACTGCCTGAGACTGTTTTGGGGCTGAATAAAATGCTTAGTAGAGATGCTTTGCCCTCTGAGTGTGTGCAGGACTGCAGAGTATTGTCTTCCCTATGGACTTTCTCCTAGCAGGTGACATGCCACAACTCCTACGTGAGCTACTTCTCTAGGAGAGTGGCATAACTGAGAATGTGTGTGCTCACTCTTTCTGTGTGAGCAGGACAGGTATTTTTGCACTGCAGGCTGAGAGTGACATGACAGGAAAGAGGGTGTGTGCAGGTGGCTTGCCTATCTGTGGGACAATCAGGGTAGCAGAAGTGCTGGAGGGAAGGATGTGCCTCTGGCCATGCACTGTGTGAGGTGCAATAGGGACTACTACAGAAGAGCAAAGCATGTGTAACAAAAGGCAAGAGGATGTTCATGAGTATGACTGAGTGCTCGTGGTGCAGAGGCCACGTGCAAGGGTGGACAGGAGCTCCTGGAGGAGCAGAGACAGTGTCGCGTTAGATGGAAAGTGCTCTGCAGCGCTCAGGCTTTATGGTGACACTGACAAATAGATGAAGGGTGTTTGTATGAGAAACTTTTCCTTGCTTAGGCTCTCGGATTCAAATCAGATTTAAATTCCTAACAGTCCCAAATTCCCCTTCCCTACACCTCACTGGAGACCCCCTGGAAAACCCAGCTCGGTATCACTTAAACTGACCCCCATCTCCCTGCTGAACATCAATCTATCGGAGGGAAAATATGATAAAGGACATGATTATTTTTAACCCATTCACTTCTGTTTTGCATTGCTGTGGGGGAGGTGAGTATCTCACCTCAGTGAACACAGATGTTCTCAGCTGCCTATGTACCTCCACTTGGCAGGGAGGCTGTTAGATACGGCTCATGATTACCTTAACCTCCCTGTGCTCCTGCTGCCTCTCCCCCAGCAGGATCACTGGGCAGGAGAACAGGACCCTGCCAATCTCGGTGTTTGTCTAAAGTGGGAGTGGTACTTGTGTCTGGAGAGGTGTCAGCGTGCCTACCCCATTACATGTTCTGTCAGCTAATGTATGACCCCTAGCCCTGCACACTTTCAATCGTGCTCTTCCTCTGGGCAGCGCTGGGAAGAAACTCTATCCAGTCTTCTCTAAAGAGGCTCTAATTGGATCCAACCCTTGCCCCAGGGCTTTTCAGGGTTTCATACAGCAGAAATAGTATTTCTTGATGACTGAACTCCAGACCCTCTCATCTTCCCAGGTCTTCTCAGACACCTTCATCCTTCTCCCTCATTGGTGTCCATCATTTGGATATTTTCAGATATTTTCACAGTCTATGCAACCATACTTGCTGTTTGAGTAATCACTACTAATTCATTTACTGTTTCCACTCACAAAGTCACCTGCTTCATCCCCACAGTCAAGCATGCACCCTTTCCCTCACACATTTCATGCAAATTATTGATGCTCTTCTTGTACTGAGAGGCCTGGACATATGGAGTATATTTTTGGTGCTGAGCCCTCAACAAAGACATGGCCAACTGCTGGCTCCAGGGTGGGGTTAATGTAAATTATCTCTTGTCTTCTCCTGCAGCCTCCTGATGAAGAGAAAACTCTTCCTCTACAACTTCAAGAACCTGCGCTGGGCCAAGGGCCGGCGTGAAACCTACCTCTGCTATGTTGTAAAGCGCCGTGACAGTGCTACGTCGTGCTCGCTGGACTTTGGATACCTGCGCAATAAGGTACGGGGATACCCTGGCATCCTGTTCTCGTATCCATTCAGAGGTGCATGCAGCTCCAGTTTGCCTGGCAGCAGGGAAAAGAGGGCTGTGACAGCAACGCAGGGACTGGCACATGTGCCCATGAGTATGGACACTGCACTGGTACACACTATTTGGGAGATGCAGCCTCCAGGTAAACCTGTACTTTATGCTACTCCCAACTGTGTTACCAGCAAGACATCCATACTCTCTGCTGCTTTACCAGTCTACCTACTTATCTGCTTAGCTCACACCCATTCCTCTTGTACATCCCTACACATCAGTGCACTCCTGTGCTTTCCTAGCCAGCCTTCCACTTGACTACCACTATGCTTTCTCTCTCTGTGCACTGACCCTGGGACATACTCCCCACCTTGTTTTTCCTCCTCTCACACACCATCCAGCTCATACCTCCCTCCTCATCCCTTTTACACCTTGCTCTCCCCATCCCTGCCTCTCACTGTGCCCCTCTCCCTCTCTCACAAGATGGGCTGTCACGTGGAGGTGCTCTTCCTGCGCTACATCTCAGCCTGGGACCTGGACCCAGGCCGCTGCTATCGTATCACCTGGTTCACCTCCTGGAGCCCCTGTTATGACTGTGCCCGGCACGTGGCCGACTTCCTGCGCGCCTACCCCAACCTGACCCTCCGCATCTTCACCGCCCGCCTCTACTTCTGTGAGGACCGCAAGGCAGAGCCTGAGGGGCTGAGGCGCCTGCACAGGGCAGGGGCCCAAATTGCCATCATGACCTTCAAAGGTGAGATGTGCAGGCAAGAAAGAGATGACAGAAAGCTATGGGGGGTTAGGAAGACCCAGGAGGGTGGGAGAAGCTAGGACAAGGAACCAGGGAAGGTGTTGGCAGGGTGTGATGATTTAGTGCTCCTAGGAGAGGTCAGTGTCCTCTGGGGCAATCTTGAGCACTCTGTAACTCCCCTGTGCCTTGCACAGATTACTTCTACTGCTGGAACACGTTTGTGGAGAACAGGGAAAAGACATTCAAAGCCTGGGAAGGGCTGCATGAAAACTCTGTCCATCTGTCCAGGAAACTTCGACGGATCCTCCTGGTGAGGGCCAATTCTCCTTCTCCCTCTGGTGCCTCTTCCCCTCAGCTTCTTCCTCTCTTCCTCACTATAGTTCCTCTCTAGTCTTGCTGCCCATCTCTGTCTTCTGCCATTCCATTCATTCCTGTGTCTTTACCTTCCATGTCCCTCATGACTATCCTCCAACTTCCTTCATATGTCCTCATTCTGTTCCCCTTCTTCCACCTCTCATCCTGTCTCATGCCATTCTTTCTTCCTTTCCCATCTTCACAGGTTCCTGCTTACTTGACAACTAACCTATCATTTATATTTTGTCCTGCAGCCACTGTACGAAGTAGATGATTTACGAGATGCCTTTAAAACTCTGGGACTCTAAAGTGAAAGTCATCAGCAATCAGAAGACTTCACAAACAATTGTTTGATTTCCAACTCTCTCCCTTACAACAGATCTTTCTCTTCTACCCTCTCTACATCTCTCTTCTCTGTGTCTAGAGATAAGACTATCCTTACTTTTTCATTTCCAAGGAGAAATAGGCTGATCTTCTGAAGACACATTGCCCAGACTCACACGTCATCCATTGCTAGCTGGTAATAACCAGGACTGCAGTGACATTGCCAGAGAGTGATTTGACCTCCCTCAGTCCCTGCACAGCTAATTCAGGTGGTCCACTAAATGGAGTTCTGGGTTTATCCTTGCCCAGGTGGGAGCAGACAGCCTGCAAAGTCTTTTGTGTGACAGTGTTCTCACTGACACTGCACTGATCTTCACATTTCATGAGGGCTGAAGGGAGCTCTCTTGGTTCTTAGGACTGCACTACACTGAGCTGCTCTGTGTCCTCCCTTATGAAATGGTTTATTTGTCCTTCTGGATGTGGGTAGGAGGTTGAAAACCATCACCACTTAAGTAGTATAGCCTATGTCCTAACAGCAAAATTGACCAGTTATTGGAAAGCTTGACTGAGAGTATTGAAGTGAGTCCCAGACAGCCCAGGTAGCTTAGCTTGAAAACCTCACTGGAAGCCAGAAGGTCTTCTAAGTGGAATGTGTGCAGGCACAGGCCCTGTAGTGCCTCTTGCCCAGAAACGAGGGAGCTTCAGTAGCTATGGGTCTAGGTTTTGTGCCCTAGGAGAGGTTGAAACTAAACAATGAAAGCAGAAGACTTTCTGGTCAACAGTTTCAAGTGCAAGCTGCAATTCTGGGTGTCCAGCAAAACATTTGCCATGTGGAAGTAGTCCACTCAACTCCTGTTAACTATGTTGAGAGCCATGGCAGCTCAGGGTCAGTACTGATCAGTGTGTGGACCCCCCACCCAGCCAGGAAAGGAGCCACTTGCAATGTTTTTCCAGAATACATCTACTGGAAAACACACTTAATTTCCACATTGTATTGTCCCTCAGACTTAATTTCTCATCCATGTAGGTTGAGGCTGTGGCATTTTAGATGATGTTTTGGCATCCACATCAGTTACCATCTGTTTCTTCACATACCTCAGGGAGGATACCACAGCTCTCACTACTGGAGTACTTTTCATCCACTGAGCATTTCCTCCCAGATCAGACCTGCAATATCCTCCCTCCTTAGCCAACTATCTTCTGTTGGAGGCACCTTAACAGTCCAACAGTCTTCTGTTTTTTTCAGGCCTTTTACTGCCCATATTATGGCCAGATATGGTTAGTTGGTGACTGGACTGAGAGCTTACCAGAAAAAAAAAACACCTGCCATGAGCAAAGCTATACAGCCTGTAGATAGATCTCTTTACAGACGATAGCTGGGTGCAAAATCAAAGCATCCTCCTGCCTGGCAATCACTGTGTTTCTACTGGGGGACCCCATTAGCACCTGATTCTGTGGACACAGTCTTTACCAAGTTGAATACACGGGTTCATAGTACAGTACAGACCTACTCAGCACCATCTTCCCACTACCTAAATTACAGATGGATTGTCCTCTGTAGTCTAACCTCTCGAGGCTTTGCTAGGGTAAATGTGTCCCACATTCTGGGGGTGGTCTGTCATTTCCTTCATGGTGGCTGCAAGTTTTCTGCTCCATCTTGTTCCTCTTTCTGGGTAAGGCTGGAGGCTCCTGTGTTACTCCCCAAAACACCTTCCCTGGTGATAGGCCAGCCACAGGAGGACAGCAGAGCCCTACTCCCACAGTTCCTCCTGCTAGGAGAGGTCACAAGTGGGTGCATCACAGGCTTCCTACAACTTCAGGCTCCTGAGGCACTCTCAGTCTGAGGAATTTTGACCAGGAATAGCAATGAGAGTACTTTGCAAAGCATTAATTTGCAAGTATGGTGTTGTATTTTTGTTTGTTACAGTGGATACTATTTATATAAATAAAGATCTTACAAATGAGCATCTGGTTTTGTCACTATTTTGGTACCATGTAGGTGATGGAAGTAAAAGTTGTCAAAGAGGTTTGACGTGTCATCTATCCTTTCTGATTTCTGAAGAGACAATCTGACACTATCCTACTGAACTGTCTTTATCCTTTTCACTTCTAACTTTGAAGTTGTTGAGAGTGTCACCCAGCAGATCAAGGCAGATAAAGTGTTCAGGCAATAGGTACCTTGGAAATATTACAAAAACCTGTGATATAAATGTTAAAGTTGTTCGGGATGCTTCCTTCATTGATTGTGAAGCCTATTGTCCCCATTCATGACTCATAATTGACCAAAGTGGACACAGAAGTGCTGAGTCAACGTACTTCACAAAACAAGGAGAAGCAGAGATGGAAAATCGATCTCTGTCTTCCAATTTTTGGTATTGACCTGTACAACACCATTGTCCTTCTCAGTGAAATTGTTGGAGAGCTACTAGAAAAAGTAGAATTTTCTAAAAAAGCAGCTGAGACACTGGCCTTTGCTTAAATGCTGACAAACACTGAGTTGAAGATACTTGTTGAAGCATGACAATTGCTGAAATTATACAGTAGGAGAATAAATGCAATGAGTAAATGCAAAGAAACATGCACTGCATTCAGAATACATTCTAGGTTGCTGCTTCTGAATCTAAAGCAGACTAAATTAAGAGGGGACTGTTTAACTAGTCCATGTGATTTAGCTACAGGAATTTAGCTCTTATGTTACAGAGATTCTTTTTAACCACACTTTATCTGTTCTCAAATACCAATTAATATTATTTGTTTCAAGGTATTCTTTGGATTGGCATTAATTCAATCTCAAATGCATTAGACGTCTCTGCCAGGAATAACTCCCTGGACGATGACTGTTATGTAGTAACATTACTTTTTCAACATATGATTTTTTTTACTTGCTTTGTAGACTGTGTATATAGGGAACATTTCACTACTGCTTATACTCAAATACCACTTATGTTTACAGATTATCCTTTACAGAGATAGTGGCTGTGCTATTCTAGGCGTCCCTTTCCTGGGAAGGAGCAAACCCCTCAAGGGAACTGGGATCCCATTGCCTGAGCTGAGGGAACCAGGGCCTTGTGGTTTCTGGGAGGGTGCTTCCTCCTGAGACTGTGGGGAAGAGCCAGAGCAGGGGCCTATTGTGCTAGCTGAAAACCCCAATTGTGGGTCTGACGTCCCACAATTTGCAGCACTGAGCAAGGCATGGGTGCATCTGAATAGCCGTACAGCTGCCGCCCCCAGCCTCGCTTCCCGTGAGCTCGCCCACCTTCGTGTTCTCTTGTTACTCGCACCCTAAAGACTACAGCCACAATTAAGGATAGGATACAAAAGATTTCCCAGCAAATCTGACACAAATCTGGGCTTTTACCAGGCCTGCCCCCATGTCTGGGTGTGTGATGTTTTGGGTGCTTTTTGCATGCTCAAGCTGTACATACCATTACTGTAAGCACACCTTCACAAGGCCCAGGGGGCTGCTGAGAAACCATCCTGCCCATGGGCTGGAGGTACCTTCTTCATCCTCCCTGAACCTCATCCTGCGCGTCCCCGCACATAGCCACCTGTGTGTGACCTGTTGGCAATTGGACCCTCGGGAAGCATCCAGTCTTACAACAACTGACATGGGCTTTATCATCCTGGGGGCCGGGATACAGAGACCACCCACTCTGCGAAAGCTCCAACTCTGCAGAAGAGTGAGGTACGGGATCGGTCTTTGATAATGGAGTAAACAGGATAAACAGGGAATGTGATAATTATTGGTACTGAATGAAACACTGGACATGGCTGCCATCTCCTGGTGCGTGGGGGTGTCTGGCACCCTTTATGAGGGTGTTGGCTGGAGGGACGTTATTCTTTGCCGCAAATGGCTCCCAGAGACCGGCTCTCAACAACCCCCAGAACATGCCCATTGAACTGCAGGACACTGACATCATTCCCACAGCTGCACACAGCATTACTCCAGGTCCGTACACAGCGTCCTTGGACATCACATTGCAATAATAAGAAACAGATTACCATTTAACAATGCAAAGACACGCTCCAAGCCCTTGCAAATACAAGGGGGATTTTCAAAGCGTGTCTTCCCTCCAACCCCCACTTGCTCTCTCTCTCTCCCTCTCCCACATGCTGGTTCTTGGAAACCAGGACAGAAAGGGGCTTCAGGGTCATGGAGTCCACTCCCCTGCTACTTGCCCCTTCAGTGGCTTTTAGCCTAGAGGTATTTGTGTCCAACGTTGTCGTCTAGATTGAGAAGGTTTTTTTCTCCCCTCCCTGGTGCTGACCTTTTGATGTCTCTATGAGCAGAAATTTTGTTATTTAGTCACATATGTATTAAATGCTCGCAGCAATGGAAATTAGATTTGGTTCACAGAAGAAACGTGGAGTGGCTTGGCACAGAAGAGACCACTTGTTCTGACAACACCAGCAGTGATAAGCAGAGCCTCTGAAGGGGAAGGAGAAGCTGGGTTGCTGCAAGAGCGGAGGTCAGAGCAGAAGTATAGGTGCCAAAGTGTGGCAAATATTTTGAAAGTTGACTTTGACTTTTAAATCTCTCATACACTTTTGTGATAGGCAGGTTTCCCTTCAGACTTCCAAACCTGCATCACATATAACTAAAGCACCATTGTTGTCGCTGCTGTTGTCATTATTATTAAGTATATCAGTTGAAGGACTGATGTGACTTTTGAATGTGTGGGGCTAATTTTGAGAGAGGTAATGTTCCTGCCTACAAGGGGACTGTCTCCTCACATGGCTGAGTGCACCCAAGTTCCAGAGCAGGAAGAATATTGATGTGTCCATGTTATTAGGTCACAGTTAAGAACTATCCTACTCTACACGCTGCAACAATGTTTTTAACGGTCCAGAGGGACAGAAGATGAGGGTAGACCAGCTCTCTTCTGTGGTTACTTCTATAGGCTAGCAGTGTAGTAGACCTACCTCTGGGCCCTTACACACCAGTGGGAGCACAGCAGAGATACAGCAAATTGCAAGTTTACTTTGGCAGCTAAAACTGGTGTAAAAAACTTCAATGGGCTGACTTGAAACTGGCAAGCTTCCAAATGGACTAGAGAAAGTTTGTCCTCCCATCTTCAGTGGGAAAGGGCTGAGCCTTCCATGAAGAATCATGCACACTGGTTAATTCATAAAAATGAGTACATGCACTTCAGTTAATCCAGGCACATCTCTGCAGCTGAATGACTTGGTAATGCCCAGAGCTGACATTTGTGGTAGCAGAACTGTGACCTGTGACAGGGATGGGGATGGCAGAGACCTCTGCCTCCTTACACCCTGGTGCTCAGCTGTACCAAGCGGCCATCTCCAGCCAGATGTGACTGGGGGAGGTGAGGGCACCAGCCTGTGGCAGTGTTCTCTTCAGAGTCCAGACACTACTAGGAGTATAGCACCATCTCTCACACTGCCTTGTTCATCATTTTGGCTTTATCAAGTGTCCTCTTGCTCCTTTAGAGATAGTCCTACACATTGCAGGACCAGCACCACTGCAAAGTTCTTGCTTAATGGACTAGGGTTGCTGCTGAGCAAATGGGAACATCTGTGGTTCACCCCTCTGACCCAGAGTCACTTGTACTGAGTCAAGGCCACAGGACTCTGATCACACTCCAGCTGGAGCTGTTACAGCCTCCATAAAATGCTGTCTCTGCTTTCAGCTGTCTCCAAGATTCTGCTTCATTTCTTCTCCCAGAACAGCAGTGTAACTGCTTATGCTTCAGAAAGGGCTATTGAATATTCAGAAACTGTATTTGACCTAGGAGGAGCTGAAGAGAGCTGGAGCCTAGGAGTGTGTAAGGCAAGAAGTATTACATCTTCTCACTTTGTTCTTGTCGTGGTTTGAACCTGGTCAGCAGCCAAATACCATGCAGCAGTTCACTCACCCTCCCCCACCTGGGAATGGGGGAGGGAATTGGAGGGGTAAAGGGAGACTCACAGGTTGAGATAAAAACAGTTTAATAATGGTAATAAAATAAAACAGTAACAATAATAGAAAGTATAAATGGGCAATGCACAATGATATTGCTCACCACCCGCTGACCGATACCCAGCCTGTTCCTGGCTAGCGATCCCAAAATACCAAGATCCCACAATCGCAAGGCCAGAAATGAGAGAGAGCCCCTTCCCAGCTATCCCTCCTCTATATAGTGAGCATGGCGTTACATGATATGGAATATTTCATTGGCCAATTTGGGTCTGGTGCTCTGGCCATGTTCTCTTCTACCTAAGCACTCTTCTAGCTACTAAGAAGAAACATTAACTCTATTCCAGCCCAAACCAGGACAGTTCTTCTCTAGTATTTTACTTTCAGGAATCCATTGTTGCTGTGTTTCTCTTTTGGAACATCTAACAAGACTGATTAACCTTTCTGAGAAGGAGAAACAAACAAACAAGAAGTTGAACAGAAAACCAGATAATTACAGGAAACAACAAATGAAAACATTTGTTTTGGTAGTAAGAGTCAGATAGCCAATACTGTAAGTGTAGGGAGCTGAGAAGGGGCATAAACCAGCACATGCCTATGCAAGCACCTGCTGCTCCCTGAAGTGGACACTTGCCAATATTACTTTGAGATAGGACAATGGAAGAGGACTAGGCCCAACAGCTTCTAGGACATGCCCAAAACTCATGAAGTTGCATACCTGTTTCATATTCTTCATAGTGTTGACCTATTGTTATTAATCCGCAAGGTATTCCTTACAACCTGAAGAGAATCACACCTACTGCATTCCCTGTCTGAGAGCCACACTGGGTAATGCTGCAGAGACACATGTTAAATGAAATTGAGGTGCCTGGTGGGATCTATTTTTTTTCCTCCTTCATCGATCATTTTGTCCTCTGTTGTTCTGCTGTATCTCCTGACTTCTCCCTTGCTTTTCACCCTTGGCCACCACCACACCCTCACCAAGGTTCTCTGACCTGGGGCTAAACAGATGAGTATAAGCTGGAGTTCAAAGCAAAAATAGAGTACTTCTTGATGAGCTAGTAATAACCCCTCTGTCCTGTAGTAAAGACACTGTTCTCTACCTTGCCTGC